CTCCAGTCTTCAGTGTCACATGATCGTTCAGAAATCATTCTAATATGCTGATTTGGTGTTTCAGAAACATTTCAATTTTTTTTAATCACTGTTGAAAATAGTTGTGCTGATTATTATTTTTGTGGAAACAGTGGTAAATTGTTTCAGGATTGTTTCTATATCTCTCTCATTGCAGGCCAATAGAACACAATCGCTGAACTATGGCTGCATTGTGGAAAACCATGAGACAAATGAGGTACTATAAAGAAAACCGTGCAATATTGCTGTACAAGATGGACAAACATTCTGTTTAATAAATGCCATTAAGAAGATGCTTACTTTTTCACAGTATGCTAATTATCACTCATTTTCTTTCAGGTGCTCCATTTTGTGGAGAAACCCAGTACTTTTGTAAGTGACATTATCAACTGTGGTATCTATTTGTTCACACCAGATATTTTTGGCCAGCCACATTGGGTTTTCCAGAAGAACCAGCAAATCCAGTGAGTGTCACTAACATAATTCAGCCTTTGCAGCCTTCCCTGGATAGATTTACGTGTATAATAATAGGTCAGTCTGACCCGTTTGCACTGAAATGCGTTTTTTTTTTTTTCCACAGGGAAGAGCTCACTAATGGCAAGCAGATGCCAGAGGTGATTCGGCTAGAACAGGACATCTTTACAACCCTAGCGGGACAGAAAAAACTTGTTGTCTACAAAACACAGCATTTCTGGAGTCAGATAAAGTCTGCAGGGTAAATCTGCCTTTCTCTCAGTTTTTACCCGTCATCTCTCCTTTCTGCCACTGTTTCTTATACATGATATTATTATAATGTAATACAGGTCAGCAATATATGCTAGTCGTTTGTACCTCAAGCAGTATCATCAGTCACATCCTGAGAGACTGGCCACAAACCAAGACGGAACCCCCAAAATTATAGGTATGTTGCATGAACTATTCACTCTCTTAAGAGTTTAGCTCTAATAAGGTTTGTTTTTGTTAAACATAATTTACCTGTGTAAATATAGAACTGAATAGTTGTGTTATAAAATTATGTGCAGCTACAAGGCCGCTGAAAATGATCTGTTTTCCACCTTCAGGAGATGTTTATATCCACCCAACAGCAAACATTGATCCCTCTGCTGTGGTAGGTACATTGACAACAACTTATATAAATATATGTTTCTGTGCTGTACTCAATTTCTTTCTCTCTGTTCAGTTGGGTCCTAATGTTTCCATTGGCAAAGGAGTGATAATTGGAGGAGGCGTAAGAGTGAGGGAGTCCATCATTTTACATGGAGCCGTGTTACAGGTGGAGCTGATTGCTTCTGTTTTCACATTTGTAACAATGGCAATCAGACAACAGAAAGAAAAGTGAAATTGATCATTAAATATATGGGTCTCTGTTTCAGGATCACTGTTGTGTGTTGAACAGTATTGTTGGGTGGGACAGTACAGTGGGGAAATGGGCAAGAGTAGAAGGAACTCCAAGTGACCCCAATCCCAACGACCCATATGCCAAGATTGACAGCGAGACACTGTTCAGGGATGGAGGTCTAACCCCATCCATCACCATCCTTGGTATGAAAATCTAGTGGCAACATAGATAGATAATACAATACAATACAATACAATATAATATAATATAATATATAATATAATATATAATATAATATAAGGTTTTAAATATATTTTTTATGTTTTTGAAAGAATGCTCATCAAGACTGCATTTATTATGAATAATTAATATATATTATTACAATCTAAAACAACTTTTTTCTGTTTTAATATATTTTAACAGCATCTTTACTCCAGTCTTCAGTGTCACATGATCCTTCAGAAATCATTTTAATATGCTGATTTGGTGACCAAGAAACATTTGTTATTATTAATGTTGAAAACGGTTGTGCTTCTTATTATTTTTGTGGAAACAGTAGTACATTTTTTCAGGATTCTTTGATGAATAAAAAAACTATTTAAAATCTATGTAACAATATAAATGTCTTTAATGTCAATTTTGATCAGTTTAATGCATTGTTGCTGAATAATAATTTCTTTAAAAAGAAAAAATTATACTGATGCCAAACTTTTGAAAGGTAATATAATATAGTCATATTGTAACTGCAATTATTGATTATAATCTGAAGATTGTTTTAATCACATGGGCTGTACCGGTAGGTTTAGTCCAGAAGGTGGAGCTGTTCCTTAAGAAATTATTACAATTAATCATCTTGCTACCGCATGTGTGTGGCAACAGTTTTTCCACAACAGGAAGTTTGTCTGACCATCTATACTCTATATTTTTTGTTCTAGGCTGCAATGTGAGTATTCCATCAGAGGTCATCATTCGAAACTCTATCGTCTTGCCTCATAAAGATCTGAACAGGAGCTTCCAAAACCAGATTATCCTATAGAAGACACTTTCCTCTCTCGTTTTTCTAAATAAACACTGTACATTGGGTCATGTAGAAAGTATGCCTAAAGATTGCACAAAGTATTGTTTATCATTATTTCATGTTTATGTATTCGGTAGTTACAGTTCAGAGAAAAGGAGTCCACTTGTGTGGTCAAATTGTATTGCAGTAATATAGCGTGAAAAATATGGTTCAATGGTGTATTTTCCTAATAATTTTAGGACTGGGAATTTTGTATTTAATAGCTCATTCTATGTTGATACCTTATACACATACAGTAACACAACACTAGATTTTACTTTTATTTTAGTTTTATTCCTTAATTACAAATCACACATACCTGTATTGCCTTTTCAGTAAAATGAGGAGTGAGCAATTAAGTAGTTTTTAGAAACTGACAGATGGTGAAAAGATGGTGATAAGGTTTAGTTAAAAAAAAAAAAAAAAAAAAAAAAAGGTTAAGGATTTTAATTATTCCTGTTTTCTATTGCAACCCTGTATTAAAATAATCTAACAACAGAAATATCAGAACGTGTGGAGTTTTATTATGAAAAATTGACGAGTCCCCTGTGAGCACAAATTGAGCCTAATGCTTTTATATTTTAATTAAAAGATTAGAAAAAAAGAATTGAATACACTATAATGCTTTAAACGTGTTACTGAAGTTTACATTGTAGCGTCTGGACCAATCAGACACACCATTTTTCATTTGATTTAACAAATCAATTATTCATTAGATTAACAAACATTCACAGACCCCTCACCCAATAAACATACTGGGTGCCAAGATGTCTGTGAACGAGGCCCAGGACACTGGTTACCATGGCAACCACGACACCTTTGCTAGACCAGATACATTTACGACCTAATGCCATGTTGAGAATTTCCCCTCGCACTACATTTTCCATAGGAAATCCACAGTGCACAGTAAAAATGGACTCTTCTCTAATTAATTAATAGGAAAACCTTTCTTTGAATGAACACACATATCCTTCAGGTCATTGTGTATGTTGTCTTTGAGATTTTATACTGTTTTATGCAGGCTTATGATCAAAACACTCATTCATGTCATCTTACATATATGTAACCCTACCATGTTTAGTATATATGAATTAGTCTTCTGATGATCTAAACGAGAGTGTATATTATATGTTGGTACATAGGCAATATATTAGTGTCCTGAGAATCTTTAGTAATTTCGATTCAAGTTCCATATGCAAATTACCATGCTTCCACACAAAGAGTCATAAAACTACCCATTATCTCAAAACTCCCACTTGGGATTCCGGCCTTTCTCATTGGACAAGCCCATCTTGAGAGGCGGGAATCTTCGCAGACTTTAAAGGCCTCACATTCAGTGACCCGCCCAGAGTCGATGGTTCTGTTAGGTTCTGAGAAGATGTGAGCTACTAGGGGGGCGTGGCAGAGTCTTAACTTTGATAAAGAATATCTCTTTGGTTTTGAGACTTTAGTCTTTGCAACTTCAGGGATTTTATCTATGCACAATCAGCTTGTAACACTCCAAAGAGAAAGGAAAACTTGAAATCGCATCATATGACCCCTTTAAAGTATACTCGAAGTATACTTCTCTTAAAGCCTGCGTCAGTTATTGCACTGCGTGCATTATTTAATCTAAATTTTAGATTTTTAAAAAAAATATTTAACAGGGCAATTCCTAGTGAAGAACTACACTACCCATGATCCTGCAGAGAAATTTCTACCAATCACAGAAATCGGGCAAACTAATGGCACCAAAGGACCTCTGCAGCAGAGCCCATAGGGGGAGCCTTCACGGTTAGCAAAAAAGCGTAATGCAGCAGTACTGTACACTGGCACGGAGATGAGGCAGTTTTTTTTAATGGCTGTCAATTGAGGGGAGGCTTCAATATGCTGAATAACCTTATGCTTTTGCGAGGAACCACTTATCGCCTTATCACTTAATAAAATGTTTGCAAATCTTCATTTTTTACCGCATTAAATATTCATTTATAAATGAAGAGTGTCGTCTGAAATTTTCTTCTAAAATGAGCATTTTTAATCACTCTCCTATATTTACGTTCAGTTATTTCACTTTAATTGCATAGAAAATGACCTATATATTGCCATTAGAGTAACAATTACTGAACCTAAACATAGCAGCCTGATAAAAATGCTCATTTTAGATGAAAATTTCAGATTTGCATCTGAACTCTTAAAATATTCAGCAATGTAAATGGAAACATTTTTCCTTCATTTTTTAAAAGTTTAGGTACAGACGACAATGTCAAAACTGATCTTCCATCCTTGAAAGAGGTTTCTTGTAAACGCCTCCTAAGTTACAACTTACATTCATATTTCCCCATGAGCTGATTCGCTACAACATATATCAAATTATTGAGTTATGGAAAAAATTAAACTGATATACTGAGTGCCATACGAGTGACCAGTCTGACTGGTTACGTGTTTCTTTGCCATTTACAAGCTCTTCTGTGGTTTTCTGTCAGCTAGGGAGAAATGCAGAATAATTTAGGGCTTATACAAAACATACTTGCCATTTAGTTGTTTTTATTTCAGTTCTTTATTTTTATGACCAAAGTAGTATCACTACAATAAGTGAAATTGTCTGCACTGACATTTTTAAATGAGGTGTTCTTATGTACCAAATGTAAGTTAAATTGCAGAAAAGGTTTTCTTACTCCCATGATTTTTTTTCCAATTAATTTTTCTGCAGACATATAGAAAGGGTCTTCTTATCACGCATTATGTTTCTTTGATTAATCTGTCTGGCAGAATGGCATATAATGTTGAGGAAAGCAAAAATAACTGAAAGGTTATTCTATATAAATATATTAATAAAGTATTACTACAACATTAACATACAATATCTATGTTATCAAATATAGCATTTCTTTATATAACATAATATCTATAGGGTCAGGATGCATCTGCAGAGTGTCACTGTGGGAAACCAATGGCAAACTAAGTTCTGCTTTCAAATATAAAGATCATATAAATATAAAAAAAATAATAATGTTGAAATAAACCCACTAATTGGGAAACGGCCAACTTATAAGCCGTTAAAGACAGATCTACCAAGAGCTATGCAATTATTTGTTAAAGATAGTATATCTTCTCTTAAAGGGGTCATATGATGCTTTTTTAAAGATCATTATTTTGTGTATTTGGTGTAACAGAATATGTTGACATGCTTTAATGTTCAAAAAACACATTATTTTTCAAATACTGTACATTATTGTAGGTCCTCTATGCCCTTGCATCTGAACTCTTAAAATATTCAGCAATGTAAATGGAAACATTTTTCCTTCATTTTTTAAAAGTTTAGGTACAGACGACAATGTCAAAACTGATCTTCCATCCTTGAAAGAGGTTTCTTGTAAACGCCTCCTAAGTTACAACTTACAATGCGTATTACTAAATATGACAGCTGTATTGTTAAAACTTATTTTGAAACATATCCCCTATTGGAAGCCTCCATTGTGTAATAATGGTTGTAATAAAATGGCAAACCGACTGAATTACAACAATTTACATCTACATGTCAAAAATATACTGTTTAATATCATTATTATTTATGTAGCCTATTGTATTTCAGTTGACAAATTTGGTTATTGGATCAAGAAAGGCAAACATCACATTATGAAACCAATTTTTATGAAGGACTCACAACCTACCTGATGAATCTTGCTTTGAGAACAAATAGTGCAACCAAATTGGATATAGAGCTACAAAGTAACTAGTTTTTAAGTCCCTAGTTTTAATTTTATGTCCCAGTTTAAGGTTGGTGCAATCTACTCAGTTGAAAATGACATAGGCCTACAGATCACCCATATGCAGTATTTGCACCAACCAAGCAGCTGCCAATGAGAAGAATGGGAATGGGACATGATATGAAGTTCTTTAAGTAGATCTTTGTTGTGGTAGTTCATTTTATTGACCATTAGTTTTTTTTTGAGTAATTCTGCACCAAGCTTGTTGTTTAGCTTGCCCTTACTGTCAGGATACATGGAAACAACTTAATACAACAGAAGACCAATGTCTTTTACGCAGGCTTGCATTAGCTCAGACAGACGATTGGATTCTTCATTTCTTTCTTCCTTTAGAATAAACCACAGAGTACCTTATAAATTTGAAATAATGCTTCTTTGCTATACAGATAATATGTAATTCAGAAAGGTGACAGCCTCCTCCTTCCTCCGTAAACATGTTGATTATTCACAGAGTGGAGCGGGTCAGAAGAGGTTTAATGGCTCCTTTGTGAGTGGATTCTTGCAGCTTTATCTTTACTCTCAATCTCCTCAGACACAGCACATAATTCCAGTTTGGAAATAGAGTTCTGTGTTCTTTTTCAAAGCCTTTTCATGTCAGATTATAAAAGATATATATAATAGCCTAGTGGTGGTGGCATGTTTGTTGAGAGAAAAACATGGGAGAGTGGCTTTAAATGCAAAACCACTCAAATCCTTATGTTACACAGCCAAAGGGAACTAGGGTGAACCATGCATGTGTGGAGTGTTTTGTCCATGTGTCATCTGTTAGTATTGTCACTATATATGGTTATAAAAATGTAATTGATCACTGTAAGGATTTACGACTCGACCAAAGTAGCTGACAAGATATGGATCACATGAATTCCACTGTCTTCACTCCCATTAGTGTTGCTCATATTCCATTGAAATCGCTGAACTTGAATCTGCAAATCACTGACACTGCGAACAGAGCTTCGTGCACCGCAATTGAATGCCAGAAGTGAAGGTTTTCAAGGAAAATAACTTAAATTTTAGTCTGTTCCAGGAATATAGTGCACAAGTCATATGGACTGCTTTCATTATACGGTAACACTTTACAATAAAGTTCCATTAGTCAATGTTAGTTAATGTATTAACTAACATGCACAAACAAAGAACAATACAGTATTTATTAATCTTTGTTAATGCCTGTTAATGAAAATACAGTTGTTCATGGTTAGTTCATGTTAATTCACAGTTCATTAACTAATGTTAACAAGCACAAATTTGATTTCAATAATGCATTAGTAAATGCTGAAATTACATTAACTAAGATTAATAAATGCTTTATAAGTATTGTTCATGCTTAGTTCATGTTAATTAGTTAACTAATGTTAACTAATGAACCTTGTAAAGTGTTACCCATTATAATTACAGTATATATGCTTTTTAGAACGTGATCATTTACCTATTATCCCTTTTTGTGTTCTGTTTTGCTGTGGAGCAACACTTTTTCAAAACAGTATCTTTTTAGTGGAAAAGCAACTTCATACTTAAACTTGACAATAATAAATCAATACATAATCAGAAGTTTGTCCACCTAGAAAATGATTTGGACAACTGTACAAACCAAATAGCTAAACATTATTTCAGCGCAATTCATGTGAGCACTTTAAAAAATTCAAAATTCATTTCTACTTTTAATCCCCATGATTGCCCTATGCTGAAAGAACAAAATTTTTCGTTTGATTTTGTCTTCTTTTGTTCTGGTTATTGACAAA